TCCCCTCCCCTCCCCTCCCCAGGGGCGGTGGTGTCAGACGTGGCCCTGTGCCCCGAGGGGCTCACCGTGGGCCCCGGGCACCCCCCCCACTGTCCTCACCAGGGGAGCGCGGTACCTCCAAGGTAAAGGGGGGGCTGAGTGCCCCCAGTGCACAGCGCCCCCTCCTGTTACCCCCCGTGCATATCCCCCCCTTGCTGCCAGATCTGGCCCCTGGTACCCCCGCCAGTCCTAGGCTGCGGGTTGTGTGTGTGTGTGTGTGTAGATCTGGGGACGTTGCTATGGGGAAGCTCTGGAACAAAATAAACAAAAAGCCTGTCTCGGCAGGGTGTGTGTGTGTGTGTGTGTGCGTGCACGTGTCAGACAGGCCTGTTTTGGCATGGTGTGTGTTTGTGTTTGTGTTTGTGTGTGTGTCAGACAGGCCTGTCTCAACAGGGTGTGCATGTGTCAGACAGGCCTGTTTTGGCATGGGGTGTGTGTGTGTTTGTGTGTGTGTCAGACAGGCCTGTTTTGGCATGGGGTGTGTGTGTGTTTGTGTGTGTGTCAGACAGGCCTGTTTTGGCATGGGGTGTGTGTGTGTTTGTGTGTGTGTCAGACAGGCCTGTTTTGGCAGGGTGTGCGTCAGACAGGCCAATCTCGGCAGTGTGTGTGTGAGAGAGACAGGCCTGTTTTGGCATGGGCTGTGTGTGTGTGTGTGTCAGACAGGCCTGTCTTGGCAGGGTGTGTCAGACAGGCCATGTCGGGGGGGGGGGGAGAAGGGGTGTCTATCAGAAAGCTGTGTGTGGGAGGGGTGTGCGCTGGGGCAGATGCAGTGTCTGCCTGGGGAGGTTCTGTGTGTGGGGTGAACGTCAGGGCCGTAGCAACAAAGAACGTGGCCCCCTCCGAACATATGTCTGGGTGGGGCCCCTTACAATGCAGAAACAGGAATGCGGTATTTATGTAGCCACTTTTAGGGGCCCCCTTCCTTGCGGGGCCCCCTCCGGTCGGAGGGTACAGAAGGCGCTCGCTGCGCTTCTGTTGAACGTTTGTTTCTACGAGAGGATGTTCTCAGCATGTGAACTTGGGTGCAGAGGCGTGTCAGACAGGCCTGTGTGTGGCTGGGTGTCTCCGTGTGCGTGTGTGTGTGTATCTGGGTGTCTCTGTGTGTGTGTGTGTGCGTGGTGTCTCGTGTGTGTGTGTGGTGGGGGGGGCGGCTCTGGGTGTCCCAGCCCAGGGGCAGGGGGAAACAGGGTCCATACAAAGGGGCGGGGAGACTCATGGGAACATCCCCACATCCTTTCCCCCACCTTACAACCTCATCCTGCATGGCCCCCCTGCCCCAGTCCGAAGTCGCTCTGAGCTCCAATGGACCTCCCAGCTCTCCCCCTCCAGCTTAGCACCTGCAGGGACCCTGCCCCGCCCTGAATAGCGGGGGGGGGGCTGTGAGCTTCGGGGGGTTTCCCCCCAAGGTAGCATCATGCCCCCTCCCACCGATCTGCCCCACTCCCCTGTCATGGATGAAACCGCTGTCCCCCTGATGACCCCCAGGATTCCCCCCCCCGTCCGCAGGGCTGATGTCAGACCCTGTGGGGTAACAGGGAGGCCGCCTGTGGCCACATTTCACAAAGGGGCCGGAAGGTTGGCAAAGACTGGGAGGAACACGGAGGGAGGGCGGGGGGGGGGGGAAGCAGCCAGGGTGGTGTGGGGGACATGAACCGGGCAGGGGGCTGGGAGTCGGAGGGGCAGGACCCCTGTGGGGCGGGGGGGGGGCCTGACTCCCAGCTTCTATTTCTGCCCTTGGCTACAGCCCACTTCCAAAAATAGCCCTTGGTTTTCACTTCCCTGGATGAGACACTCACAGCCTAGCCCCCCGTCCCCTCCCGGACACCTGGGTTCCACCGAGCTGGGCGGGGAGTGGGGTCTAGGGGTTAGAGCTGGGGGATTGGGGCTGGGAGCCAGGACTCCTGGGTTCTCTCCCCGGCTCTGGGAGGGGAGTGGGGGCTGGTGGTTAGAGCGAGGGGGGGCTGGGGAGCCGGGGACTCCGTGGGGTTCTCTCCCCGGGCTCTGGGAGGGGAGTGGGGGCTGGTGGGTCGGGCAGGGGGGGCTGGGAGCCGGGACTCCTGGGTTCTCTCCCCGGCTCTGGGAGGGGAGTGGGGGCTGGTGGGTCGGGCAGGGGGGGCTGGGAGCCGGGACTCCTGGGTTCTCTCCCCGGCTCTGG